TTGAAATGAAAAGCCATTAAGAAAAAGCTTGGTTATCCATGAGTAATGACATTCATTAGCTGAAATGTTTCATATTTAAAGTGAATCAATGAGTTATAGTTACTTGTGATCTCCAAGACAGAGATTAGAGAATGTATTAATGTATTTTGCGTGGTGTAAACTGTACAACCACAAAAGGAAGCACTGAGTATCTCAGACAATCAAGCAGTGTTTCTTTTGTTACAGTCAAATATTTGCCTTGCTCCTTCTTAAAATATGCTTCAGACTTTAGACTTTGATGTCCACATGCCATCAACTCATCACTGTTTATGGTACAGTCACATCAGGCATAGCAATGGTAGTTTTGAAAATGTTTTACCTGACTTTTAGCAGATGAATGTTAATTGGGTATTTATTTACAGAAAAAAAACTAAATTGAAGCTGAATCTTAATGCACAATTTACATAATCAGCTTTGTTCTGAGCTGATGAGCTGTTTTTCCCAGCGCTTGGGACCCTTCAGTTATAGTGGCATCAAAGAAACAGACACTGAGAGTGGAGATTAAACAATTTCCTAAAGTTAGAAGTCCTGATGAGAATCTATTATTCTATATTAGAATCCCATAATTTCTGCAGATCAAAGATGTACGTTAGTGCTTTGGCATAGGCCACAATCTGAATAAAGATGATCAATTTGCCTTTGGAAAACATTTCTGCCAATTACACTTTTCTAAAAAATGGAAAGTTCTTTGAGTTCACCTTTTGCATCCGAAGGAAGAATTAAATCTATTGCCTCATAGGTGCAGACAGGTTGAAAGCTAAACTATTTACAGTGAGTTTGGTGAGCTTTGGTTGTACTATTTGTGCTGTATGATCACGATGCTCCATCCTGTTCATCACCAACTCCACAGAGGTTTTGCCTCTCTCCATCATTTGGAGAAACTATCTCAGGTAGCCATGGACCTAAATTAGTGTTTTCATTTCAAATCTCTGCATAGATTTGAATATTGAAAAAAAGATGACTTGTCCCTTTCCAGCACAGAGGCTTAGTGCATGACTTCCACTCTATCATGGCTGATTCTGTGAACTAAGATGTACAGAAAGGGTTGCTAAGCACTGGAATAGGCTTCCCCAGGAGGTGGTTGAGTCACCATCCTTGAATGTGGTTAAAAACCATTTGGATGTGGTGCTCAAGGACACGATTTAGCAGAGATTGTTAGGGTGGTATGGTTAGGTTACAGTTGAACTTGATGGTCTTGAAGGTCTTTTCCAACCTGAGCAATTCTTTGATTCTATGATTCTATGACTAAGATCACACCAGGCAGAGCACAGGCTTTGGCTGATGCCACAGATTCTTGGAGGACATCCCCAACTTCATGAGAACAGAAGCAAACCCATGGGAAACCTGGCTTCAGTGGGAAGATGGAGCTCAAAAAGCTCAAAAAGTTTTGAAAAAAGTACTAAACTTCTCTTTTGGGATGGGAGGACAGACTGAGTCTGCTAAGTGCAAAATGCCAAGGTGAGTGTTACATGAAGACAGTACAAAATCAGCTGTTTTAGACTACCTAAGAGGAAACAAGAATGGGAAAGTCAGCATTTGCACAGGGCCCTGCTACAGGCTATAATCCAATTACAGGGAAGCAAGAGGCTGATGGTGACCTTGCCAAAAACTAAGTTATCCAAAAATAGTCTTGACAAATGAGTAGTGTAAAAATAAGGAGCTAATCAGCAACAGTAAGAAGGAGAGGGAGAGATAGAAAATTTCCCTCTGCAAGAAGTAAATTATGCAGCATAAGAATGACACCCATCCATTTCAAACCAGAATAGCTATCAGTTCTCAGGAGCTTGCAAATCAATCAACAGGCAAGGAAAGAAGTAAAGCTTATCCCATTTTTCTTCTTCCTAAATCTGCCTAAATGTTATGATAATTAGCAAATTGTCACTGTATGTACCATTTTTCCTCCATATTTACTTTAGGTAAGCTGCAGGAACTGCGCACACAGCCCCCACAGTGCTCACCTAGAGAGGGAAGGTAGGACAAAAATGCATCGAATGCTGTGATGCCTTCACTAAGGGTAAGGAGAAGTGGTTAATGCCACTTTCTTGGGGCATGGAGCGATGCAGAGGGTGGCAGCACTTAGGACTATCCCCAAGCAGTTATGTGTGACACTCTACAGACAACTTGTCCAAGTCTTACCAACCATGTTTTTCGCAATGAATGAGAGGTCATGTGGTGAACAAACAATTCTATGATCACCTGCTTTATCCCATCATCTAGAAGTGATCTTCCACAGTTACCACCAACTCATTTCAGTTTATAAGTACATAAATGTAGACTAGAGATTCGATTTTGAGTGTTGGCTTATTACAGAATCATAGAATCATTAAGGTTGGAAAAGACATGTAAGATCATTTAGGCCAACCATCAGGCCATCCCCACCATGCCTACTAACGTGTCCCTCAGTGCCACATCTACACGGATCTTGAACACCTCCAGGGATGGTGACACCATCAACTCTCTGGGCAGCCTGTTCCAAAATCACACAACTCTGTAAGACTGTAATGACCTTTGCCCAGACAGACTCGAGAAATCTGGAAGGCATGAATTCAGTTTCCTGATGAAAGGTGCTGAAAATACACACTGTATCCAGACTTTTTATAACTAGGAAAATCAAAGATCCAAAGCAATGACCAAAGCATGAAGGGCTCACAATACCTAGTTCTCCCAGGAACACCATTAGTATTCAGAAGAAGTAGCATTTTCCCCTGAGGATCTTACATGTGTTCCTGACAGTTAAGCTCTGCCCAGACTAACACAATTTTGTTCAGAAAGCAATAATTTCCTCTCACACTGGAGAGCTCTGATTCAGCTGCTTAATGAAGGTATTGCACACAAAGCAAAACTGGGGACTGAGGTCAACAGCGCAAGCTCCTGATCTCATGCCACATCATCACCCTGATCTCACAACCAGGTGAAGCGCCTCCTCCACTCAGAGCTGCCAGCTTTTAACTGTCTATTTTAACAAATATTCCATCAAAAAACAGTAAAAGGGAATAGCTATGAGAAAAGGGACGTGTCTGAAGGCACAGAAGCAATTCTTCAATTCTGAGATGCAGCCCTTTCCCTTTGGCCATTGAAGAGATTTTCCTCATCATCTTGAACCCCCAACAGAAGAAAATGTTTCATACTTTAGGCCTCTGAAATACACAGTCATTACCTGGTTGTTGGCCTGGTTTGGCCTGTTGTTGTCTGAGTGAGATACAAGGTGAGGAATAATTTGTTCTGTAAGCAATTTAGTTCCAAATTACTTAGAGACCGATAAACTATAATGACAAGATGTTTCTTGGGTCCTGTTGCAAAAGCTGAACCTTCCCATAACCTTTCCTTTGCTTTACAGCAATGCTCATACAATTACACCACAGAAGTCTTCTTGCACCTGTCTTGTTTGATTACCTAACGAGTCCAGTATTCTGTCTGAAAAACTGAGACAGTTCGCACTGTCTAAAACAGGGAGAAATGCTTTTCCAGATGTGATGCCCATACTGCTGAGACTAGACCCAGCTTTCAAACATGGGTATATAAATAGGCTCTCTGTCTCCTTGTGACTAATCACTGTTCACTGTGTGAGCAGATTAGCATCCAAGTACTAATCTAAGCCATGGAACAGCCTCCAAAGAGCTGTTTTTGATGACCTACTTGCTTGCTATGGGCCAAGAAAAAACCTGCCTTAGCTGGCCATTCAAGAAATTGAGAGAGTTCTCACTGCTCTGTGCTGCCTGTTCCATTCACCCCACCATGGTGTCTGTGAGGAGGTATCCACATTTATTAATTGCACTTTATGGAAAAGCCTACCCCTGTGCTTAGACACACTTTTCTCACCTAACTTTCTTGTCCTCCCCTCCAGGCTATGACTGCATATAACAGTAGAGGCAGAAGTAAAAATGAAGACCACTGAAGTATACAGGAATTTTCCTTGTAGCAGCAAGCTGTAAATAAAACAAAAAGAAGTCCTTCCCATACATGCTGCAACCTAAAAGTGCCATTTATCAGCAAATAATAATCTCACTTGAAATTAGTAGGATTATTCAAGTGTATGAAAACAAGGCCATTTGAGAAGAATTTAGAGTAATTAAGGTACAAAATGATGAAGGCAATTTACAAATAACTGAGGCGGAAGGGGACATGCTGTTCTGTTGAGCAATGTTTGCTTTATAGTCCTGTTGTACTCCAAGGCAGAAGACAGATTATTTTCTGAAGAAGAGCTTTAAACAAGGGGAAATGACAACAGAGTAAGTGGGAATGTGGGACTTGGAAAAGAAAACAAGAATATGGTGGGGGTCAATTGTAGTGGAGAAAATTATTTCTCATCCATCTGTTCATCTAGGTCTCTATCTGTCTGTCTGTCTGTCTGTATCTATCCACCCGCAAGTATTGTAGAAAGAAAATATCTTAGCTAGTGTGTACAGATCAGATATTTCCATTCTGAAAAAATGTGAAGCTTTTCATAGAAAACTCCAATGCCATGTTGTTACACTATGTCTCCCTAAGGGAAATACTTTTCTAGGTTTGCACTAGTGCACAGTGCTTTGTGGGACATGTAGTTTGTTTTTCTACGTCACATTGTCTTTCATGACCCTGTATCCTGTGAGACACTGCATTTTCTGTGTGAGAGAGAAGGCTGGTGTGTGGCGGCAGATACAGTTCAGCCACTGAAGATGGCCAACCATAAGAAGGGGACAAATGGGGACCCAAACTCAGTTCCCATTTGAGTTTCTTATTTTCAGGAAGTGCCTATCATCTCTTTGAAAAGTATGGCCAACCTAAAGTACACCAAATTAAGTATGAAAAGAATGAACTATGTTTTGAATATGCAGGCCCCGTTATCAGAAAATCCCCCCAAGAGGCTGAAAAGCATGCTTTCCAGGCACCATGCTACCAGAAGGTGAAATATGCCTAAGTAATATAAGAAAGTTTCAGAGTAACACAATACTTTCCAGCCTTGATTTTAGTTCAGACTCTGCTTGGATTTTATTAAGTTCCTTGAAACAGGGAGAGGCACTTTCCAGGAAACGGAACTAGCAGGTTTAGCACCGGGTTTCACATCTCTCCGAGTTGATACTCATTTGCAGTGTTCTTCCCTGCTTCTTCATATATTGGGAAAGTGATGGCAATGAGTTCTTTCTCCAGCATTTCCATTTGAGTCGTAATGTCTGACACAGTGTTTTTCACATTATTCAGCTGCAGCTTCAATTTCTTGTACTCTTCTTGGAAGAATTTCCCCTCATCCTGGAGAGTGTGAAGGCTCTCTCTGTCATCAGGAAGACATTTCTCCTTCAGAAAGACCTGCAGAATCTGGTATAAATCCTTGAGAGCCTGAAGGATTTCATTATCATCCTCTGTGCTTGGGGCAGTCTTGGTGTCATTCTGGGTTGGCGTGGTGCTCTCCTCTTTGGCATCATGCTCCTCCTGGGAGGTTTGGCCAAGGCTACCTTCTCCCACAGCGGTGGTACATTCAGTGGCCTTCTGAACTGTGCTGTCACCTTTGTTCTCTTCATGGACTGTGATGGCCTGTTGATCTTTCCAAATTCTGGGAACTGTTCTATTCTGCTTATGGAAAAACTCTAAGACACTGTTCCTTTCCCTGACCAGCTGGAGACCCTTCTTGACTGGACTGACCTGAAAACCTAAATGCCTGTCTGGGAAGAAGGGGGACAGCTTATGATCCTTCTGGAGGCTTTGCTGGATGGTGTCACTGTAAACAAGCTGGACACCTTTGTTCTGTGACTGCAGATATTGCAAAGCCTTGTTTTCTTCCCAGAGCATCCTGTTTTCAATCCGGAGGACTTGGTTTTCCTCCCAGAGGGCTCTGTTCTCCTCCCAGATGCTCCATTCGTTCTCTGACTTCCTGCTAAGGAGTCTCCTCTGGGGTGCAAATGTTGGCTGGCAGTGCACCTCATTCACCCATTTACCATCAATGAATGTGAATGTCTCATCCCTCAGTTTCATCCGTGGGAAGACACAGTCCATCTCGGGCTTTGCACACTGTGTGCTCTGGTTTGTCAGATCAAAAGTAGACATGGTTATCTGCTAGCAAACTGAGGAAGACTGTGAAAGGACTTCTGCAGGAGGCCACTGCCCTCAGGCAAGGACTAGATGACACAGAAGCTGGAGATGAAGCTTGATTAGTACTGAAAGAACGGGAACACAAATGCACTGAATTACTATCAACATTTGAGGTCAGATTTAAACTCCATTACATGACAGGATCAAATAACTCAGTTCCCACAATTGATCACATTGCCCTTTGACACTGGAAGAAACACAGTTTATAAGAATAGAAAAAACTGGCACTAGTGGAGAAAGCAACACTCTGGTGGCACCAGAAAGTTTGATACAAAAACCTGGACTCTCTTTTCATGCCTTTGCCTCATTTTTACAGTCATGGAAGATGTTAAGATGCAGAAAGTGATATGAAATGAAGCTGAACTTTTTAAAACCAAATTATTTCTATTTACCAGAGCCTGTGCAGTGTTTCAAACAGCATATAAGTGTTGCTTTTTTTTTCTGATTAAAAAAAAAAGTAGGCTGACTGCCAGTTTTTATCCCTCTTCCCCCAAAACCTCCCATCACCCTCCTGTCCCATGTAACATCCATATGGCTGGTGAGGAGTCAGGCAGTCAGGAATTTTGCTTCTGTATCTGTCCCAAGCACTTGGCAGGGGGCAAAAGCCACAGCCAAGGTCCTTGTGCCCCTCAGCTCTGCCAGGACACTGAACCCTTTGTCCTGCTTTGCCCCACAACCTCTGCCAGCTGCTGCCTCCCTGGGCTCTTCTAAGTTATTTCTGAGATCCACCACCCACAGCTGCCTCCCTCTCCCTCTTCCCAAGCTTGTCTGAAAGCTCAAAGACATATCAGTACTGTTTAAAGCCCAAAATCCCTACTTGAAGGAGTAATTGCAATGTGGGTCTGTTTGCCGTAACACTTGATTTTATTGATATAAGGTCTCTGCTTAACTTTCAGAACTGCCTTCCGCATCACCATCTGGTTTATCTCACATCAGACTTGTGTTTGCATAATGTCATTCCTCTGCTAAAAGGGATTTCCCACTGTTTGCAACTGCTTGCCAATTTCTAAGTTTATTTTTCTCCCTTACGTTGTGTTCAGAGCACAGTGAGCAATTTCTTGCTCCCTGCCTCACACAGACCTGTCCTGTTCCCTTGGAGGATGTTCATGTCCCCACCATTATCCCCAGGATGGGAAGATGAATCACAGGGGGAACTGATCCCTAAACGTCCTGAACAACCAGCGTCATAAGCCAAGATCCACCCTTCACTGAGTTTCATGGGCAGGCAGCTAAAGCCATTTATATTTAAAGTGTTTATATGGCAAGTTTTGAGGATAAACAGCAGTATATAATTTATACAGCATTGAAGGATGTTGTCCTGGGAACAATTAAACTTGACAGCATCTCTATCAGCTCTTGTGCACTGCAGTGGAGAGGTCAACCCAGGCTTCAGAGAAGTTTTCCACCTCCCTTAATCATATTCCCAAACTGAAAAATCTTTCCACAGGATGGAGAGATGGGGTGGACAAGCAGGGCGGTGAGAGACCACATGAAATCAAGCAGATCTAGGTGTTTTGGCAGCATCAAATTACATACCAGCACGTACTCACCTGCTTGTTGGAGATGATGCTCTTCCCTCTCCACTGCCCTGCACAGCTGCCAGGTCCTCACTTGGTTTTTTAGCCTGAGGTTCTGCTCTCAGTTCTGTACAGGGGGGGCACGGGAGGACAGAGGAACCCACTGTGATGCGAGCACCACGCCCAGAGCCAGCCCCCACTCCACATGGCCAGGAGCTCCCCTCCCCCCCTCCTGCTTCCTCACAGCCTGTTTTGTTTGATTTTTCCCAGCATTGCACATTTGGGTCATTTCTCATGGAAACGACCTTTCTGATATCTTAGCTCTCACGTCCCTTCTTGAACCCAGGCTTCCCTCTTTGATGCACACAACTGAGAGCAGTTTAGATGGATTCTTTCTCCATCACACTCTCCTAAAAGAAATTTTGTTTTTTGCTCTGAATCTTCAAATTAAGTCTCTTGCTGACCCATTGCTGATATGTTCAAAAACCACTTCCTTCTATACATGCACAATGACAGCTGAAGTGTAATGGACAGCATGGATATGAGTTTTTCTGTAAATATAAGTGAAAGAGTGGATCTCTCCATCGCCCATCCCTATTAAGAAGAAAATAGAACTTGCAGGGCATCCATGCATTACAAGTTTAGATATTATTTATAGCAGCTATTCCTGCTTCCATGTCTTTATGCTTCTAATAATCTCATTCTCTTTCTTATTTGCTTCATCTTTTAGATGTGGATTATTTCTTTTTTTTCCTGTCATCAGAGTTTTTGAATAATAAATACAGTAATTAATGTCTATTCCAGTGAAAATGACCAACTTGACATCAACCCCAAAGTGACTGTTATTGCTTTAGGAAGTTAAAGGCATAGTTCAGTGCTCTGCAAAGATAATAAACTTAGCTATACAATTCTCTTCTGTAATTTTTTCCTTCTTTCTATTTCATCTCTGGCAACATAAAATGAGTAAATAAATAAGTAAATCAGAGGTTCCTATGACAACTTCCCAGGGTTCATTCTCCTCTGTTCAAGTACCAGGGTCCTGCATAGAGGAGTTGGAAAATATCCACAAAAAAAGAAGTTGGCCTTCTATCTGATGGCAATGCAGAGCTAGTGCTGTGAAGAACCTGTGGGAAGGACCCTGAAGATCCCATCCCATCCTCCTTTCTATTAGGAATGATGACACGTACCTACAGCAAAGCTCAGCCCTTCCCTTTTTTTTTGTTTTTGGGCAAGCGCCTGGAATCAAAAGAATCCGCTTTTAGTAAATGCATAATGTTATTCTCTCTTCTCTTTTAAAATGTCTTAAAAACCTAAAACTTTCCTTGATGAATCCAAAGGGATCCACTGGCACTTTCTTTACCCCAAACACATTTGTGCTTCTGAAAACTGCTTTTGCCTCTGTCAGTGTCAGCACAGGCAGCTGACCCCACACTGACCTCCTGTTCTCCAGGGCACTGTGCCTTCATGCAAATCCCACTGAGTCAGAAAAAGTTTCTTGCATATGTGAGTGATCTTGAATCATCTCTTGACCTGAATAACTGGGCAGGGAGTAAAAATAGTGTTTTGTCAGGTCGCGCGGCAGTGATGTGGTTGGAGTGATTTGTCAGTGTTCTGCCCAGCAGGAGCTAAGCACACTTGGTCAGCAGTGCAAGAGCAGGAAGAGAAGCCTCCAGAGCAGGTTTTCTCAGTCTGATAAGGGTCTCAAGGACACCCTTCTGTCACCATCTGTTCGGATTAACTGCCCTTCCAGGGACCACATCACAGCACTGCTACCAGTGTGCCCCAGTAGCCTTCAAACCTGCAACATTCTGCAGTCTCTGCATGCCTGTGCCAACACTAGCCAGGATGGTAGGTCATCTGAAAGCTGGAGTAAGAGTGAAAATACCTGCTTTTGTTATTCTATTCTGCTGCCAATTCCTTCTGGGACCTTGAGTAAGGCGTCTGTTTCCTTACCCCCACTTCCTGAAGCATACAGTGAGTTTGGGATAGTGGCTTTTTGTTGCAAGCTGTCAAGAGAAGATAATTCTTGCTTGTGCAGTGCTTTGAGCGTGAAGAGCACTTTGGTAAAGAAGCCCTATGCATCAACCTTGTTTATCTCCGTTACAGAAGTACACACAATCTTTCCTGTTGAAACAGAGCATTTGATGTTTGTTAGTAAATGATACCTTACAGAGACGTGTACAGTTTTGTGTTGTTCCATCTGAGATCTCAATCCCACCTTGCCTTCTGTCTACTTCTTTCAAAAAAACATCAAAATCATGTGCAGACTACTGGCCTGCTCTAAGCCATTGCCCGTCAATGCAATTCCTTTGTGTTCTTCTCTGTGATACAGTGATAAATCACTCATGATCCTCACCAAAAAAATACAGCGCGATTACTTTATCACTCTCCTATTTCTGTCTGATCAAACTATACAGAACATTCCAAGTTGCTGAAGAAGCCCATTAGTTGTGTTTTTGTGTTGTTTTTTTTTTTGATGTTGTTGTTAAATAAAACATTAAAAATTAAAAGAGATCTTAAATAGACATTAGGAGGAAATTCTTTATTCTAGAGGATGATGAGGTGCTGGCACATCTATCCAGAGAAGCTGTGGGTGTCCCATCCCAGGAGGTGCTCAAAGACAGGTTGGATGGGGCCCTGGGCAGGCTGAGTTACTGAGTGGCAGCCCTGCTCACAGCAAGAGATTGGAACTGAATGGTCTTTAAAGTCCCTTTCAACCCAAGCCCAAGGCCAGGTTGGATGGGGCCCTTGGCAGCCTGGGCTGGTATTAAATGGTTGGTGGCCCTGCATGTGGCAGGGGAGATTCATGATCCTTGAGGTTCCTTCCAACCCTGGCCATTCTGCTATTCTGTGATTCTATGGTTCTATGATTCAGTGTGAAAAGGCAGGAGCAGACAGTGGGCAGAAAGTTCAGGCACGCTGTCCTGCAAATGGGTGCAAGGTTTGGGACTGAGGGCATTTTCCCTAATGTTAAAGGCAGTGTTTCCTCCAGCATGATGAACAGCATTGATGGACAGGTCTCGCTGGGCCACAGGAGAAGCCAGCAGCTCCATTTTGATTGACAGGGAAAAAATTGAGGATTCAGGCTTATTAAGAAATCTTTAATAGTGATTTATGGGGTCCTGTATATTTTAATCTAGAAAAAAAAAAAAAAAAAGTAAAATCATCTAATTAGCTAAGTGTGTAATCCTGTATATTAATTGCCCATTAGCCACTTCTTAATTATAATGGAATGCTTATCAAATAACATGTGATGGCCACGTTGTACCAATTTAAGTCATTATCAGACCAGCTCCCGCTTCAATAAGTATCTGTCTTACTGAAACATAACCACTGCATTTTATTTTAAAAGCTGCGAAGAAGAGGGAGTTAAGATCTTAAAAAATTAGTACTCCATTAGGATTTACCAGACAGTGTACTACAAACAGTGCTACACAAACTAGTCAGTGTACTACAAACAAGTGCTGCACAATCATGAACGCCACATAAAAAATCTATTCAGATGCCAACCCAGATAATGAAAAGACAAAGCTAAGTGGATACCTGCCAGGGAAGAAAGACATCTCTCAGGTGATTAAGGTGATAGTCTTAGATATTTCCTGTTTTTCGACTGTTTGGCACTACAGCCTTAATGCTCAATTGACCTATATTTGTGCATGTGCAATTTCTGACATTTTTAATTAGACAAACCAAGAAAATTTGATTAGATACAATGAAATTGTTGTCGGCAGCTCACCTGCAGCACTGGCAGCAGCTCCACATTTTTGTGTGGAGGATTTGTGTTAAAAGGAGAGTATTTCAGCAATAGCAATAACAACAGGTTATTATTTTAAACATCAAGGTATGCCATAGGAAGATCTGCATGGTAGCCATGTTCTCTATGGGTTTCACAGATATGCACTGATGACCATGACATCCGGAGACCTCCAAAACACCAGGTTTGAATCTGTGGGATGGGCAGGGTTTTCTACTAGCTCTTCACCACATCCCAACTCCACCATTTTCTCTGCACCCATTCTTCTGCATCTTCTCCTGTCACTGATGTTCATGCCTTCTTTCTCCTTTTCCTATGCAGACCATGCCAGAGATGCCACTTCCAAGAAGGCTGAATACATAGGATGCCCCTCTCCCTTCTATGAGTCTGTATGGCTTCTTCCCTCCCTGTCTTCTTAACCAGCTTTCACTGCTCTTAACTCCACATACCCCCCCTTGGTGCCTCAAGCTTCTGCCCTGTCTCCCTAAAATTGACTACACTAGATAAGCACATTTCATCCTTTAGGAACTACAAAATACTTCACCTGGCATTGCACTCATGCTTCAGTGGGCAAGCACTCCTCAGTACAACTCCTCTGCTCTAAACAGGCACACAGCTTTTGTTCTCCCGTTTTGTTTTCCCTAATCCTCCTGGAGCACAGCAAATGTTTGGCAAAATTATTATGATCAGGCTTGACTTTCAGAAACACTCACTACCCTGTGCATTTCTGTGGTGGTGGTTTCATCACCTGAATTCTGCAAGGAGCTCCACACCCATCTCCAAGGTCTCTCCTCCCACAGTATTTTTTGCCCATTAACGTTGCACCCAGGCTTTGACTGGAGCTGGTGGACTTGTGCAATACAAGTATCTTGTTAACAACATAAACAGCTTGAAGGGTCTTTCAAGCCTATTGCTGAAGAAAGTAGGTTTGACAAAAATATGCAAAAAGCATAGGATTTTTTTTTTTTTAAATGGAATGTAGGATTATACCAAAACATCAAATGTGAAGTGATGCTGAGGTGAGACATTTTCAAGCTTTTTGGAAGCACGGGTTTACCCCTGTAGCGTGTACCATGCTTTGATGGACCATGGCACATTTTGCTCAGAGAAACACGATTTTAACACCTGTTCATCTCAGGGTTTAAATTGCTGCTGGAGTGTTTTTTTAATGGTATGCCAGAAGAAGAGAGATTTGAGCAATAAAAGAAGAGAATAAATAGTTAGATCCCAGGTACTACTGTTCGGTACACTTAGGAACAGTTAAAATGTAATTTTAGAAATGTTATGTAACCCCTAGGAATGATTTTATGCCAGAGAAACAGCCCATTTTATCCATCTCCCTCAATTTTTAATCTGCAAAGTCT